GGATTGGTGGGGGGAGATGCCCGCGTGTGATGTAGAGGCTGCGGGTCTCCCTGTAAAGAGCTCATAGAGTAGATGTTGTAGGAGGGGCTACGTGTACAAGGAACAGAGGGGACGTCCTAGACACACTTAAGAAAACAAGCACAGTATTACGGGATGGCTGGCGGCCAGTTATCTGAGCAGCCAGCAAGGTCGGTCTCCCTCCCTCCATCCCTCTTTCCTCTCTCTCTCTCATCCCTCTTTCCTCTCTCTCTCTCTCATCCCTCTTTCCTCTCTCTCTCATCCCTCGTTCCTCTGGGTGCATAATAAATGAACTAAACTAAACCTTCCATCTCTTTCCTCTCACTCCTTCCCTCTCTCTTTCCTCTCTCTCTCTTTCCTCTCACTCTCTTTCCTTGCCTCCCTCTCCCCCCCCCTCTCACTGTGGTCCCCACCCACGAGTTCGAATTATGGCCTTGATAAATACACTATATTAAAGCTCCCTGAGTTTGCTTCTAGACGTCTGAATGTTATTTGCTTGTGTGTACCGCTTGACCCCCCCCCCCCCACACACACGCACCCTGTAAGAGGCGGTCGTCAGAAGAGGAACGTAGATGGTGTGTGTGTGTGTGTGTACTCGTCTAGTTGTGCTTGCGGGGGTTGAGCTCTGGCTCTTTGGTCCCGCCTCTCAACTGTCAATCAACTGGTGTACAGATTCCTGAGCCTACTGGACTCTATCATATCCACATTTAAAACTGTGTATGGAGTCAGCCTCCACCACATCACTTCCTAATGTATTCCATCCGTTAACTACTGACACTGAAAAAGTGTGTGTGTGTTTAGGCTTTACGTTTCCAGTGTTGTCTGGTTGTAAGGTGAACTAGCTGTGGTGTGACAGACGGTTAAGCGCAACAAAGGCGGAGCAGCTGCTGTGGGGGTGAATCTTGTTGTTTTAGATTCAGCTACTCGGAACAAAAGTTCCAAAGTAGCACGGGCTATGGTGAGCCCGTTGTGGACTTACCTAGCACAGGAGCGGGGCTGGAACTGGGGGTGAATCGCAGAGGTCTTGTTTTATATAAGACTCTGGCAAGGAGCAGAGGGAGGCGTGACTATTCAACCCGTCCCCCCTCGAACAGCACATCGTATTTTGGCGTATATATCCCCATTAAATTAAGGTAAAAAACTGGTGTACTGAAAATCATGGCGGCTCGCAAAAATTGACGTGGTGTTCCGTGTTATATTCACGAGTCGTCGGTTAGGTTAGTACATCAGTTTAGTGACGTTGTGCACTCTGGCAAGTTCAAGTATGTTTATTGAGATAAGAAAGAAATATATCTCAAAGGGATAGAGTAGCTTAGGGTATTTCTACCCCCCCCCCCCCCCCCAACTCTGGCGAGAACTGGCTGGAGTAATATGACTAATTCTCACATGGGGTGGCGTCATGCATGGGGAGTGTCCACTACAAAGAGACTGAGGAATTACCATTTTCTCATTGGATAGACATGGCTCATCTTTATTTGCATGCTTGATTCTGTCTAATGTTTGTATGTCCATCCACTTGGACTAGCCAGTATAGGGAGTCACGCTTCTTGCAGGTTCTTGCGGCGTTCGATCCCGGATAGTCCAAGTGGTTGGATGCCGTACCTTAAATTTTAAATTTAAATTTTGCCCCGAGGAGCGAGTTTATTGGGCAGCGTCACTCATCCTGTGAGTGGACACGCCGCCATACCAACATGTACAACACACCCCAATAGGAAGAAAACCCGCTGGGTTGTTCATTCTCCTCGTCCTCATATCCCTTCTAAGTTCTCTAATAGCATACTGAGCCTAAGGTTTTAGTCAAGTACTATCCACTAGCTATGGTTTCACTTTCTATTGAGGGTTGGTAGTTGACCAGACCACACACTAGAAAGTGAAGGGACGACGACGTTTCGGTTCGTCCTGGACCATTCTCAAGTCGACTTGAGAATGGTCCAGGACGGACCGAAACGTCGTCGTTCCTTCACTTTCTAGTGTGGTCTGGTCAACATACTTAAGCCACGTTATTGTGACTCATCGCCTGCATAGGGTTGGTAGTAATTTAAGTTAGTGCCTAACGCCAGCAGCAGATATAGTCATTTGTTTTAGCGTTGAGTCAGCTTGTGCTTAGTAGCATATAGGAATCGGCTGCTATGACGGAACTCATCATTTTACAGACTTTGGAGTCTTGAGATGAGTAAGTTGGACATGTATGCTTCCAACATGTTCAGTAATGTGCTCGAAGTTTGTGAGAACACGAGGATCTTTGGAGGGAATGTTGGCCTACACATACACGTGGGAAGGCTAACGTCAGGTATTCCCCGCCCAAGTGAAAGTAAGTGTGGGTGGGTGGGTGGGTGTGGGTGGGTGGCGACAATTCATTAACTGGGTGCGTGTGGTGTATAGCTGAGCCGCCCACTTGTCTTGCCTCTTAGCAGAACTTGTAGACGGAGCCCAGAAACATAGTCACCGCCACCGTGCATAACCCGGGTGTACAAATACCAGGCTGGAGTTGTGACCCCACGGAGCGATGGCGAGGCATTTATTTAACACGGCTCTCACGCCCGAGATAGTTTGATTATGGTGGTTGTTAGAGTGGGTGAAATATGAGTGCTCGTTAGTCAGAGCCCCGCCCCGCGGTACCCTCCAAGTCCCAGCTGTGCACTCTCCATTCTTATCTTGCTTTCCTCACATCCTTTACCCGCACCCCCTCCCCTCTCTCATCTCCGCTATTCTTCCTCCCTTCCTCTCCTCCTGGCCCCTTCACATCCCTCCCTCCCCCTCCCCACCCTCTCCCCTCTTCTCCCGTACAGCATGCATTTTGTAACGAGATAACTAATCTGTTTAGGCTGAGCCGTGTATCTGTACATAAAATAGTTCTTTATTTGGTATCTTCAAGTGTTTATCAAGAGTAAAGATGTGGCTGGGTGATTGATGGCTCTGATAAATCCGGTTTTGTATATTTGGTCAGGAAGGTTTAACAGGCTTTTGTTGCTGGAGACGAGAGCAGTGATAGTGTGTTGTGTGTGGGAGGTGGCGAGGGGCGACAATGATGGAGGGGCCAAGTGCGTTATTAAGCCCTAAGTGAGAGTTGGGTGGTGAGGGTAGTGATGATGCCCCCGCGGCACCACCTGCTTGTTCCCTTCATTACTGCCACTGGACGCAATCTTCGCCACTCACTCCTGCCGCTCATATTACCCACAACACCATATTGACCCATTACTAGTAGTGTTGACCAGACCACACACTAGAAGGTGAAGGGACCACGACGTTTCGGTCCGTCCTGGACCATTCTCGAGTTGATCAATCGACTTGAGAATGGTCCAGGACGGACCGAAACGTCGTCGTCCCTTCACCTTCTAGTGTGTGATCTGGTCAACATACTTTAGCCACGTTATTGTGACTCATCGCCTACTAGTAGTGCTGTTTTAGATTCAGCTACTTAGAATAAAAGTTCCAAAGTAGCACTGGCTATGGTGAGCCCGTAGTGGACTTACCTGGCACAGGAGCGGTGCTGTAACTGCTCCATTACTAGTGGGTCTCGGGAAGCTTTGTACTAGAGGGGGTGTGCAGGTAGGCCTAACTCTGCCTACCATTTGTGAATTATTTTGGCTCAGGGTTTCTAGTCGCTCCACCTGGAATTAGCCAGGATTCCCTGGCGGTTGCCTGATCAGTAATGCTCAACATTTTGAGTACATGGTGCTTTAGATTTGAATATAAATGCACCTTAGTGTTTTAGAATGTGATGCCACCATCAGTAATTTTTTGTTATTGTTGCCGCTGGAGGCGGCTAGTTTATTGTGCACCCCATACTCATCCCGTGAGCGGTAGCGCAAAAAGGATTACAGAGGGTACAAAAGATCTTTATCAGACCTCAACGGAGATTATTACATAAAGAATTTCATCTATCCTTCACACCTTATAATTACAATGTCAGCTAGTTAGAGAGAATGTTCTATTTCAAGAGCTATATATTTACAGTAAGTCATTATACATTAATGGTTGGTCTTACCGCTAATACATAATTGTTTAAGCAGTGGAGATATTACAGAGTCGTAGGGGAGCTGCTTGTTTATTATGAGTTCACAATACGCCATTTGTTTCTTAATCTCATATGTAGATTATCTACTGGAAGGGGAAATATGGATATACAGCGCACGTGTACTTTACTCAACTGATCCTACACTTACATTGTTGAGGGCATGCACGCTGTTGAAATTGAAATAAGTTTATCGAGGTAAAATACACACAAAGGGATGAGGTAGCTCAAGCTGTTCTCACCCCGTTCAGTACATCGTGTTAATACATACATATACACACATCACAAACAATAAACATATTACCAAACATTCTAAGATGCAGGCTGTTGACTCATCAAGAGAGCTTCAAAAGTCCCCCAGGATGCCTCTCACAACAGTTGCCTAACACAAAATCTATATGTGTACTGCTTGGTAGTCATACTTGGTCTACATTCATACATCTGCAGTATGAATGTAGATGTGTTCCTACGGGCCATTCGTGCCCTTGCCAAATCTTGTGGGGGTTTAATCTTCATCAGATGTGTTGTTGTTGTATTTTTTAATTTATTATTCACATTTTGATGGCGGTATTGATAGTGTTCAGCAGCGCGTATAGAGGGAGTTTGGCGACAAAAATGTTCCCAATATTTATATAAAACTTAGTTCTCTTTGGCACTTTATTTTTTTTATTTGTCGACATTCTTATTTAGAACTTCTGAGTTAGGCTACAATATTGAAGTATACATGGAAAAAATCATCACGTGGATGTTCAATTTATGATACATTTACAGCAGCTGTAATCCGAGTTTACCAGCTGTAATCCGAGTTTACCAGCTGTAATCAGAGTTTACCAGCTGTACTGCAGTCTTATTAGCGATTGTCAGTAGTAGGTGTAATTAAGATTCTTGTTTGCATGCAAATATTTAGTGGCATCTTCAATATATTCTTGTGACGAAATGTGATTAATGTGTTTGTTTGTGATTGCAGGAGCATAGGATGAGACAATGATGCTGATGAGCAGCAGCAGCAGCACAAAATCGGTGCAAAAGAACATCACGTGAGGGACGGCGGCGGCAGGCCCAGCAAGCTGTGTGGTGGGTGGTGGTGGTGTGGTGGTGGAGCAGGCGGAGTGGTGAAGGTGGTTGTGCTGGTGCCGGGACCCTGCCCCCCCTGTGCTAGTGCCCCTCGTGCACAGTGTTCAGCATACACCAAGTGAATGTTAGGGAAAGACAATGCGTGAGTTTAAGGTAGTGGTGCTGGGGTCGGGCGGGGTGGGTAAGTCTGCCCTTACGGTCCAGTTTGTGTCCGGGTGCTTCATGGAGAAGTACGACCCCACCATCGAGGACTTCTACCGTAAGGAAATTGAAGTGGACACTTCGCCGTGTGTGTTGGAGATCCTGGACACGGCGGGCACGGAGCAATTTGCCTCCATGCGAGACTTGTACATCCGCAATGGTCAGGGCTTCGTGGTGGTCTACTCTATGACCAACCATCAGACCTTCCAGGACATTAAAGGCATGAAGGATCAGATCACCCGGGTCAAGAACACCGATCGTGTCCCGATTCTCCTAGTCGCCAACAAGGTACGTGTATCACTTCTCCTTAACCACGTCGTGTGTATAAAGACGCATTCGACCCACTTAAATTGCGTGGAATGCGTCTTTCCAAAATAGGTGTCTGTCACAAAATCGACTTGAAAATGGTCCAGGACGGACCGAAACGTCGTCGTTCCTTCACTTTCTAGTGTGTGGTCTGGTCAACAGGTGTCTATAACGTTTAAAAACCACTGTTTTAGCCAGCTTAGATAGGATGCAGCAATGATTGCCCAACTTTTCTGTAAATCACGATGAAGATTAACAGATTAACATGTTAACATGAGAAGCATTAGCAACAAAATCGTCGATATCAAATGCATTATGCTGAAAATTGTGGCTTATAGCATTACCTGAAGGTTATTTAGCTTTTATTTCCAGGGACTTCATCAACGGGATCAGAACAGGTATGGCACTCGCTACTAAGAGAAGAATAATATAATGGGGTCTATGAGATATGTATGTATATATATATGTATGTATATATATATATATATATATATATATATATATATATATATATATATATATATATATATATATATATATATATATATCACGAAAATAAACACGTGATTTATATATATATATTTATATAAGTTGATTTTAATGATTGACTTTAACTGGGGTAATACTGATCGTATTAAAATTTATATATTCAAAATATTCTGGATAACTTTTCCGCCAAGCTGTCACAGAACCGGTTAAGTAAAGCATTAAAAAGCAAATTTATTCTGCATATACCACTAACCATTGAAACTTATATCTCGTACAAGCTATGTACGACTGATCGTAAGATATCTTTCTCTGTTATGTGAAATAGAATTTACATATTGACCACCATATCTGGTGATCTCCACGGGGACATGAAGCTGGCCGGCTTGTCAAAGGGTTAACCCCATTAACTGAACAAATCTACAAGGGCCGTGACGAGGATTCGAACCTACGTCCGAGAGCATCCCAGACGCTGCTTTAATCGACGTAGGTTCGAGTCCCCGTCACGGCCCTTGTGGATTTGTTCATTTGATGCATCACGCTATTGTGATTTGTGTGTGTAAGGTTGCCCCATCATTACAGAGGATTTATTTTAAAATGAAGTAATATCATGGCATTTACGGCTTCAGCGGGTATGCGGTTTTATTGATATATATATAATCCTTCTTGGGGGAATAAAAGAAAACCACCTGTTTTCTGTTCTATATTGTGGCTTGTTGAGCTTGAAGCTTTTGCTTCATGTGCATTACATTTGACACATTCAAAAAGTTATCTGGATTATTGTCTTCAAATTTGTCGTTGTGAAATGTCGTTGATTTGTTCCATATTGTATAGGTCTGAGGTCAACCGTATCGTATCTGGTTTGTAGTGTTGTTAGTCCTGTGGCAAGTTAACTTTTATATTTGTCAAGGAAAGGTTTATCAGGGGTATACTTGGTTGGAGTGGGGTTTGAGTTTTTTTTTTTGTTTTTTGCTCGCCAAGCCCGGCCTGGGGCCAGGCTTGGCTTGGGATAACTGGGTCCAACAGCCTGCTTTCTCCCCCTCCTCTCTTTTCTCCCCCTCCTCCCCTCTTTTCTCCCCCCTCCTCCCCTCTTTTCTCCCCCTCCTCCCTTCATTTCTCCCCCTCCTCCCCTCCTACCTACCCTGTGGTGGTTGGACTCCGGGGATGAAGGTGTGTACAGCCGCCCCAAGATTACAGACGTTGGGACTATAGGAGGGTGGCGGCTTATCTGCCACACGTTCAAAGGCAGAGACAATGAGAGGGGAAGACAACAAATGGCGTGATGGAATATCTCGTCAGGAGAACAGCTCATGTCATTCAAGGTGGTGGTGGTCTCTCCATAAAAGTGGAGATCTGACTCTTGATCACACTCTTAGAGGACCGGGCCGCGGGGACACTAAAGCCCCGAAATCATCTCAACATGACCTCTAGATCTCAAGATAGATTATGTGGGACGTTAGTTCGACTAGGCTAGAGTGCTTAGCCAGTGCTTTGCTCCCTCCATTGTGTCGGGGCGCTTCTGATATATCCCCAGTGTTCAAGCCTTTTCTCCACACTACAGTGAGTGCCTTGTGTAACTGGCACTTTATATCTATTAATATTGAATTCCATGTGTCTGGACCCAGGACCGAGTGCATGGGCATGATGTCAATTTCTTTTTCGCAATGAGAGTTCGTGTTGATAAGTTATATTTTCAGGGGTTTGGTCATCATATCTTGATTTTGATCATGCTTAAAGGAGCTGTCTGAACCTTCAACTTTCATTCAGTTTTTTAGGCCTGCTTCTAAATATAGGCTAAGGGGGATTACTAAGTAGCCCCCTAACTATTCAAGAGGAACTTGAGTCGTTGGGTTATTAACCGGGCTTTGGTTCATACGTCAGACTTAATGCATCGCCTTATCGATACCATCAAGTCACTGGGACGGAGCTCTGGAGTCACATGAAGGTAAGTACTGTAGGTAGGTTGACGGGGTGTGAGGGAGATAGGTGCTGCCAGGAGGGGCGAGGGTAGGGCAAGTGGGTGCTGCTGGGAGGGGCGAGGGTAGGGCAAGTGGGTGCTGCCGGGAGGGGCGAGGGTAGGGCAAGTGGGTGCTGCTGGGAGGGTAGGGCAAGTGGGTGCTGCTGGGAGGGTAGGGCAAGTGGGTGCTGCTGGGAGGGTAGGGCAAGTGGGTGCTGCTGGGAGGGTAGGGCAAGTGTGTGCCGCTGGGAGGGGCGAGGGTAGGGCAAGTGGGTAAGGTGTATTTTAGGGGTGTTGACGGTTATCAACTATTTATTCAACATGGCCGGGGCGCTGGGCGCGGCCTCGGGGACCCCAGTAAACTTGCTTAGCCTTTGGTTGGTCACTATGTCGACCCAGGCTGGCTGGTGATAACGTTATCTTAAGTTAAGATATGGCTCATCTTGTTATCTCAACATCAGTGGTCGTGATGGCTTTTGTCACTGATGGTGTTATTTGATTCTTAATTACCCATTTGATAATAATAGATGATTTGATTGATTGATTTAGACTTTATACAGCAAAACTTGGCTCGTATTTTTAAATACTGTAGTTTAATCGATCACTTAATCAGCTATAATATATAAATTGTAATAATTTCAGCGTCAGAAAACGAAGCAAATATATAATTTACTTCGTGGTTTAAAATTAATAGATATTCTGTATTAATGTTTGTGAAGAGATGTGGAGGCTGGGTATACTCGCTATGATATGTTAATATGCTGAATAAGGCGCCTGACAGCTGAGTGGCATGCGCTTCGGATTCGTAGTCCTGAGGTTCCGGGTTCGATCCCCGGTGGAGGTAGAAATAAATTGGCAAAATGTTTCACCCTGATGCCCCTGTTACCTAGCAGTAAATAGGTACCTGGGAGTTAGACAGCTGCTACGGGCTGCTTCCTGGGCGTGTGTAACAAAAAGGAGGCCTGGTCGAGGACCGGGCCGCGGGGACGCTAAGCCCCGAAATCATCTCAAGATAAGATAGTTCCTTGCTGCTAGCGTTCGTAAGGGTGTTTGTCCGTTGATTAATCACTGAGCTGAGTGCTGCGACCGATCCATACAAGCCGTCAATATTAAGGGCCTTAAATTTTTACAAATATTTCGCATTTGTAACGATTTGATCGATTAGGTAAACAAACAATGTGAAGTGTTAGGCAAGAGGTGACCAAACCACACACTAGAAAGTGAAGGGCCGACGACGTTTCGACACAGTCGACTTGAGAATGGTCCAGGACGGACCGAAACATCGTCGTCCCTTCACTTTCTAGTGTGTGGTTTGGTCAACGTATTTCAGCCACGTTATTGTGACTCATCGTTCTGCATTAGGCAAGAGGACGGGTTGCATGGCTGACCAACCTGCTACATAGCCTTCCCGGCTTGGTGCCTTCTTTGATACTTACTATCCTCTTAATAGCATTTCTCATTTTAACGTATACTTTACCCAAGACCAAAAATTGGCGTTATGGAAAGTAATAGTTAAATCCCAAAGCCTTATCCTGGCCCCTTCCCAGTGCTGTATAGTCGTAATGTTTTGGCGCTTTCTCCTCATAGTTACCTGGCCCGTTTTCTGTTTTGGGTCCTCTGGTAGCTTGGGATACTTTAGTACAACAGTTTCTAGACTTTGGGAAACCTTAGAAGGAGGGTTGCATGGGTGAGAGAGTGCCTGCTCGGCGCACAATAGTAAGAGAACGCGGGTGAGTAAGTGGTCTGGATATAAAGGTTGTATTAATGGTGTCACTTGAATTATTGTAACCTACATGGGAGACCCAGTTGACCCTAAACCTTTGTTTTCCCTCGTCAGTATAATATTGTTCATTTGGCGGGGGTGACGCGCGCTCTTCCTATATCATGCATCACTCTCTCTATATATGTGTGCTGGGGTTGAGCTCTGGCTCTCCTCATCTGCATTTGCATGGCTGGCATAATATAAGTACCGGTGCATACCTGGAGGTCACGGGAGACATCTCCCGTCCACGAGGCTCACCATAGCCCGTGCTTCTTGCCCCGCTCCTGTGCCAGGTAAGTTACGGGCTCACCATAGCCCGTGCTGCTTGGAACTTGTTCCGAGTAGCTGAATCTATAGCTACAACAACCTGGAGGTTCATGGGAGACATCTCCCGTCACGCAGGGTGCAGTCGCGCCTCCACAGATCTCCAGTATCAGCTCTTGGTACTGGTAATGGCTCAAAAGGGTCACCATTTACGGGCTATTCGTGCTCGTGCCACCTTTTGGGTGGCTTAATCTTCATCAATCATCAATCCTGGAGGTTGCTCTGAGAGTTGTTCTACTTCCCGAGCCAGGTCTGAAGCCAGGCTCGACTTGGTCCAACAGGCTGTTGCTTGGAGCGGTCCGCAGGCCCACATATAAGTGTTTAATGGCGTGTTTAATAATTATCCTTCAGATTGTTGTCTCTTTATTCTAATTTTGTGGAATGTGTTTTTCCACTGTGTCTCGCCGCTCTAATTGTAAGCAATTGGATCTTCCCCCCCCCCCCCCCCTCACC